ACCATGTTACCTGGCATCTCTCTCAATACAAACTGTTCTGGAGTTTCAATTTCATTCAGTTGCTGTTTAGCCTCTGATGGTTTCCCCTTCATCAGGCGTTCTATCTGTCTAAGTTTCTGATTTATCTGCTGAAATCCTATTATTGTCATTCGCATGGTAACCAGCCATTCTTTGTCTGGCAACATTCCCACTGGGTATGTCCTCTCCCTCCTTGCCCAAATATTATAACAGTATTCTCAAAATCCACACAGTCCAGTCAAAAGAAGGTCCAAAGGAAGCATCACACAGGGAACCAGTCTCTTCTAAAAAGAAAAACCGTCATAGTCCTGTAATAACTCCAGATCTGATTTTCTTCGGTCCTCGTCTGTTCTGTTGAGTTCCTCTCGCTGATCAGCTGATAGTCTACTGTCGTTTCCCGGGGCTTTATTCTTCCTTTCAAAGCCAAAGACGCTTCTGTTATCTAAGTCCCATTCGACTGGCTTCTCCCACTCTTCAGTCTATGTCGCCACACTGATGATTCATTGCCTATTTTTTTATTCCCAAAAGCCTGTGCCTCCTGCTGCAAAGGTAAGGTTTTATTTTGAAAGTCCACTCAGCTAGTGAGGAAAGTCCAGATTGCACAGCATTGACAAGATTTCAGTCACTGTTGAGTAGTATTTCCTCTGGGATTTTTTTTCAGAAACACAAAGTTTTTCTCGCAGTGTATCTAAATGACCTTGGCCAGCTTGCTATTTATCAGACAGTTTGCTTTGGGGAAAAAAAAAACAAGCTGGCATGTAGGCTCGCCGCTTCCTCTCTTCTTTTGGTCAGGTATTTTCACTTTAGTTTCTTCAACATATTAATGAGGTTATTCATAAATCAAAGGCTTACTTTGCTGTTGTTTCTGTTCTCCATCCTCGGGAAATTGGTAGTGGAGTTTTCTCACAGCTTTCTGCCATAAGATATGGCCTCCTGTCTCCGGTCTGCGCATGGGTGAATTTTCAGAGGGAAGAAAGACCCGGTTGCTGCCAAATCTTCTACCTTCTGGGCTCACCTGCTTGGGGGTGCCTCTCCTGGTCCCCCCTTCTGTCCCCCCCTTTCTAGGGGGACGACAGGCCGGATGGTTCCAGTTTTCCCCTGAGCTGTTCACCGTGTGCTGCTGGCTTCATTGCAGTCAAGCTCTGCCTCTCTGGAATCTGTTTTGCTGTTAACTGTTTGGCTGTGGTGATTTTATTGAGAAAAACTGTATCTTTTAAAGACTTTTCCAAAATATAAGATCTTAAGCAGGACTTACGATTTTTCAAAGTCACTTTAGTAAATCCTTTACAGATTGTACAACTTTTAACTAAATGAACTTCTCCTAAACAGAATAAACATTGGTCATGCCTATCTGCTTGAGGCATTTTGGATCTACAACCAGATCAGTATTTGATTAAGGCCGCCAAGTCATAAATTGTTAAGTTTCAATTGTTGAATAAGGAAGAAGGTGAGGGAGTAAAGGAACCAGGAAACATGTTTAAAATCTCCCCCCCCCTTTTTTTTAAAGATAAAAGACAAAGACATGTTTTGTGTTCTGGAGTCAACCAAGGATGCTGTTCCTATGATGGACAAAAAGTGACTGAGGTAAACAGGTGGCGCATTTGCAGTAGAAGCAGGGGAAAGAAGACTCAAGGTGAAAGCTCTGGAAAGTTCTGTGGAGAATGTTTGCACAGGCACAGAACCAAACTGTGTGAATTATAGAACAGTGACAAAGAACTATGTGTCTTTCTTCTGTCTTTGTCTGGTTTTATGTGCGGAATTCACAAATAACTGTCAGGAAAGCCGAATGTTGGCACTGACATAGACGGCCACACTTTCCTTCATACACAAACTCATCATGTATAAAGTTTACTGCCTGAAAGGCAATAGTGTAGCCTGAGCATTCGGCAGCTATTAATCATAATATTTACATGATAATCCCAGGAGCAAAGCAAGCGGCCTTCTGATCAGCGGTAGCTGGGGGATAGCAGCTGCAACTCCCAACATTTGTCAACACTGGCTATGCTGGCTGGGGCAGAGTGGAACTGTGGTCCAGCAAACACCTGGAGGGCTGCCCTTTGCTCACTCCTGTGATAAACAAAAGTTGGCATATTCTTCCAACCCCACCAACAGAATGAATGATGGCTCAGTAGCAACAATTCCATGAACAGGAGACACATTATGTCAAAAAGTAACCTTGCTAATCCGTTCTAAAATGTGTCATGACATTTGAGAACATCTCGGCTATTCAGAGGAAGATCTAAATAATCTAAGCCTCCAGACATTTCTGATGCAATTAGTTCATATTCTTACTTTGTGTCAAAGGGTTGTTATGTCCTCGACTTTTCAGCACTGGTATATTGACATCTAGCAATGTGTATCTGGAAAAATAATCTTAATTCTCCAGGCAGTTTTCTAACAACAAATCAGTGTAAAGGTAAGCAGAATACTGTGTAACATAAAGAGAATGCTTTGAAATATTTTAAACTGGAAATGTCAACTTACGTTGAAAATGCATTGTTTTGATTTTCACACCGTATCCCTTTGCAGCGGTTTGGTTCATTTGTTTCGTAATAGAAATATAGCTGGTTCAGTCCATTTGCAAAAGCTAGCAACACAAGGCAGTAGATAAATAGAAATTTTAAAATGTCCAGAAGCATTCTTCCAAGGGAGATCTGCAAGGGTCCCAGGTGGGAATTTGCAGTGAATAATGAGATCAAGCGGAGTGAACTGAAAATGTTTGCGATAGCAAACAGTGCCTCAGCTACCAAAGTTGGGTGCCACATATCCCAGCTCTGTCTTGGGAGAAGCCCACTGTACTGAAAAGAAAAGAACAAGGCAATGTTAAGGAGATTTTTTTTCCCTTCTAGTGGAAAGACCACTTGTATGTACTCGTTCGGTTTTACTTGTACGTACTTCAGTACGACTATGATCCAAGGCCATCATGCACTAAGCAACACTTGTTTTATTTATTTATTTATTTATTTATTTATTCATTCATTCATTCATTCATTCATTCATTCATTCATTCCATGCCTATCTGGACTACTCGTTCACTCTAGGTGGCTTCCAATATAAAATAAAACAATAAAACACAAGAATATACATAACCCTTTTACTTGCTGCTTCGCTACAAGTAGTATACTGACACTCTGGGTACAGTTCGGGGTCCCCCCATCCCAAAAGGGACAGCAAATAGTAGAAACAAGGGCCTCAGTTATCAAATTGATGAGTTGCATTTCCCACATAAAATGAAGCTTTTCAGATGAAGAAGGCTGCCGATGCCCAACTACCACAGGGTGACAGCCAGCCTGTTTCCCCCCCCACCCCCAAATGCATGGTATCTACTAACAGTTAAATCCCCTTAAAACTGAGCAAGAGTGGGAATCACAAGATCTGCACAACAAGTGTGTGTGTGTGTGTTCGTGCGTGCGTGCAACCACTGGTCGCCACTGAGAGAGCGCATTCTTTCCCCCTTATTTCCTCTTCATCAATATGTGTACATGTCCCCTCTATGTCTGGCCTATAAGAGACAGATTGGTCAGTGGTCAAAAATACAAAATCAAATCCCAGCTCCCAGATTAAAGATATACATTATATCAGGGGTAGGAATACAGGGGGAGGGGAGGAGAAAAGGGGGAGGGGCATATAAAAGGAGAAATAAAGCAATTTAACTCTTAGTGTCAAAGTTAAAAAAAAAGTTCAGTCACACAAACAGTTCAAATTACAATAACACCTAAAGAGCAGGAAAAAATTAATGAGAGATAAGTATATGATTTATGTAGCTGTGCTTGACCTGAGCTCTAATAGGCTTGGACTATGCATCTAGCAGCACAGAGTATCCAAGGCTATTCATAGATAGAAAATATTAAAGCTACAGCCAAAATGTTAGTGTCCGAATCCATGCATACGATTGCATGACCCTTCCCCACTACACTACTGTCGTTGTTTCATGCCATCAAAGTGCCTCCGACGTATAGCAAGCCTATGAATTAGGGAACTCCAAAAACCTGCCCTTAACAGCCATGCTCAGTCCTTGCGAACCCAAGACTGTGGGTTCCTTTAGGGAGTGAATTCATATCCTATTTGGTATTCCTCTTCTGCTGTGCCTTTAACCATTTCCAGCATTATTGTCCCTTCCAGAAAATCTTGCCTTCTCACGACATGCCCGAAGTACGACAGCCACAGTTACACCATTTTTGCCTCTAGAGGTAATGCGATTGATTTGCTCTAGGGCCCACGTGTTCATCTTTCTGGCAGTGCAGGGTATACCCAAAGCTCTACTCCAGCATGTTTCAAACAAATCAGTCCCCCTCCCCTCCTTGTCAGGTTTCTTCACTTTCCAGCTTTTATACATATCAATCATGAATACAAGAGTGTGGGTGATCTTGGCTTTGGCCTCCAGCAACACATCCTTTTCTCGATTTGCTCTAGGGCCCATGTGTTCATCTTTCTGGCAGTGCAGGGTATACCCAAAGCTCTACTCCAGCATGTTTCAAACAAATCAGTCCCCCTCCCCTCCTTGTCAGGTTTCTTCACTTTCCAGCTTTTATACATATCAATCATGAATACAAGAGTGTGGGTGATCTTGGCTTTGGCCTCCAGCAACACATCCTTTTCTAAGTCCCTTCTGAGTCTCAGTATTCTTCTGATTTCTTGGCTGCCGTCTCGAGACTGTTGCTTCCTTTATGGAGTCAATCCATCTCATATCCGATCTTCCTCTTTTTCTGCTGCCCTTTACTTTTTTTTCCTAGTAAATCTTGTTTTCTTATGATTTGCCCAAAGCATGACAGCCTCAGTTTTGTCCTATCACTCTCTTTTTGTTGTTGTTGCCAGAGATAATCTAGTCTTGATTGGATCTAGTACCCACTTGTTCATTTTTCTCGGAGTCCAGGGTCAACCCAGACTTCTTCTCCAGCGACACACCCTTACCCTTGACGATGTATTTTAATGTCTTCATTTCTATCCTTCCGAGTGTCAGTCTAATTTCTTGGCTGCAGCCTCCGTTTGGATTGATGACTGAAACGAGGTACAGTGGTGCCTTGCTTTACGATTGCCCCGCATTACGATGAATCTGCTTAACAACGATCTTTTTGCGATTGCAAAACAATGGTCTAAATGGGGGAATTTCACTTTGCGATTATCGGTTCCCTGCTTTGGGAACTGATTCTTAGCAAAACGATGCTTTTTGAACAGCTGATCAGTGGTTTCAAAATGGCCACCGGGTGATTAAAATGGCTCCCCGCTATGTTTAGGGATGGATTCCTCGCTATACAGGCAGCGAAAATGGCTGCCATATGGAGGATCTTCGCTGGACGGTGAGTTTTTACCCCACTGGAACGCACTGAACGGGTTTCAATGCATTTCAATTGGGTTTTTATTTTCGCTTTACGATGTTTTCGCTTAGCTGCAATTTTCCTGGAACGGATTATCGTCGTCATGTGAGGTACCACTGTATACAAAATCTTGGTTTCTTGATTGTCCACGTTAAAGTTGTGCAGCTTGAAGAACAATTTTCTTGCAGCAAAGCCATGACCTGGAAGGCTCTGTACAAGCTGTGGCTGGGAAAAGTGCATGACTCTGCTCGCCAAATGTCTGCGTACAAGCGTAGAAAGCCCACCCTACTCAGGAAGGCCAAACCGACCATAGTCACCTTAAAATTGCCTACTGGAACAAAACAAACATAAAATGAAAATGAGAACGAAAAATAAAGGAAGAAGAAAACCAAACCTTTCTCATTGCAGCAGGTTTATTTCAAACACAGGCAAGTCAAATGGTTACATTCAGAATCCAGGTGTTTGTTTGTTTTTGGCCAGTTGTTCATCTATACTACTTTTTCAGTAAGAAAAAGAGACCTGACTTGCATCAACAGAGGTTTTGCTTTTCACATCATAGATATCTTTGTCTATCTCATATTGTTTTTTTCCATATTCAATGTAAGTTTTGTTTTATTCAGACAGGCTGTTTTAGAGCCAACCCCAGGATGAGACACCTCTCCTGGGACTCCAGCATATGCTTTCTGCACAGTAGATGCGTCCTGAGAGGAAGGGCCCTGCACATTTTTCCCAGCTCCAGCTTGTACAGACAGGTTTAGAGCTGCAGGTTTTGCATTAATAAAACTATTCTTCTCCATTATCCATGTGAGATTAAAGGAAATACTTCCAAGGCTTCGTGGGAAATGTTGTTTAACTGATTTGGGTGCAAGAGGAATCAGTCACCCTGCCCTCAATAGCTGTCTTAGATGAGGCAGTAAAATGTCTGGCAACCTCTCGATTTATATGTAGAGACAAATGGGTTCATAAGTTTTGTGATGCAGGGAAATAAAAAGGAGTTAGACGGGAAGAAATTTGTACAATGCTCTGCGAGACAGAAACCAACCAGTGTGGAGAGGGCAAAATTCAATCTTGTGTCAGTTTTTACTAGCATTTTTTAAATATCTCAAAGTTTTTTTTGGTGTTGGAAGCATGACACGGTTTTCAGTGATACATGGTTTTCAGTCTTTGTTTTTCTGGCATTTGTCTTGTAACCTTTCATATCAGTTACTTCTAACTCTGAATTTATATACAATAATGCAGTCTGCTTGTAAAGAGATCTTTTTATCCATCAGCCCTACTAAACTGGGTAATTAAACAATAAACTGGAGGAAAAGGGTGTCAAAATACAATCTTATTTTACATCCATGTTACCACAATCTCATCTGATGTGGGGCCTTGTTGTCTGGAATCAATCTGAAGACTTATTTGGGTACAAAAGATTATGAAAAAGAAATACAATTATTTATTCATTTGTGCTTTTGGCTCTTTCGTCCCAGAAACAGCAACATGCTTCAGGCCAATCCTGCTTCACATTCTATTTGTCACAAAACTACACCCATAATTTTATCAGCTTCTAAAGTAAAGAAAGACACCAAAAAGCAAAATGGAATTATATCAAGATAATGAAACTAATCAGTCTCTAGAGAGCAATGAAGGTTAATTTGAATAGAAGTACAGACAGAATTAGCTACATAGAGCTGCCCTGTGTAAGATATTCCAGTGCCTGGGAAAAGCTAATGATTTTTTTTTACTCTTTTGCTCCCTATAGATCTGCCTCTGTGTGTGGCAGGAGCAATAGGTAAAAGTAAAGGTTCCCCTTGACATTTAGTCCAGCCATGTCTGACTCTAGGGCGTGGTGCTCATCCCCGTTTCCAAGCCATGGAGCCAGTGTTTGTCCGTAGACAGTTTCCATGGTCATCTGGCCAGTGCAACTAGATACAGAATGCCATTATCTCCGTCGTGTGGATTTGAACTGCTGATCTTTCGACCTTGCAGCCCAGAGGCTTTTGCGGTTTAACCCACAGCGCCACCACATCCCTGGCAAGAGCAATACTAGAGCCTATATTAAGGATCTAAAAATCTGGGCAGGTTCATGCAAGAGAAAAAAAAAGGCTCAGTGTGTAGGAGTTCCCACAAAACCATTGGGCAAATGACACCAGGATTATTGCTGTTATCTGCAGTCATGTCAGAACTGACTTAGAGTGACCCTAATAGGGTTTTCAAGGTAAATGAGGCATTTAAGGTGTGTTTTTACAAGTTTCCTTTCCCAGTGAGTTTCCATGGCAAGCCATGTAGGGATCAGTTCTCTCCCTGTTGAGTAGTGCCTCAAACTTAGCTTCTGTTGTTATAGATTGGCTGCCAATACATTAAAACCTGTGGTATCAATCTATGGCCACAGTATATGAAAACTGATGCGACAAGTTTCCCCAAAAGGAACCTAAACAGTGCTTCACAGTGGTATGTTGACCCTGAAAATAACTTTTGATGCTTTTTTTCTGAGGGTGGCATCTTCCTCCATCATCTATTTCACCATATGCACAACTGATCAGAGGCACAAGTCCCTGCTTTTAGCATCAGTATCACTTTAAAAATTATGTGGACCGCCTACTCAGGTAGGCAGGGGTTGACCCTGCACGATCTGGGCCAAATGTTCCTTTGGCAATGTACACAATCCAAATAACTCCTCTGTAAAAGTGAGTGGTTCTCAATAAATGAATGAATAAATAAAATACTAATTCAGTAGAGACAGTTACTTAGTGACCATGAAAATACTCCAGTCCTGAAAGACAAATAGATTGGTTTCAAGCAGAACTGAGAAAAACATTCCAACTTTTGTACCACATTGCACAAGGAGGAAAGGCTAACCATTTCTAATCTGCATTTGCATTGTGAAGACAATGTATAACTTCGTTTATGGCTATCTCCCATTTAATTTTGATCAGAATGCTTTCTCACTGTTTCTGAGTCAACTAGGTTTAGTACCAGGGCAATCTGGCCCTATGGCCTGCCCTATGCATATCTACTCATCTAATATATTAACAATATAAATGTGGATGCCAATTACCTTTGAAAATGCAACAATTTTCAGAGAGATGGTCGCCAGGTATAATGAGTTCATTACAAAATCCATCAGATTCCACCAGTCATGAATGTAATCCTGCAGGCCTCCATCCCACATTTGTTTAATCTCACCCCAGATAAATCCTGGAAATATTAAGAAAACAAGTATTTTAAGCATGCTTACATGCAACAATCATTAAAATTGCCATTCATTAATCAGTAAGTTCAATTATTTTTCATTTGTAGTTCATAACATATAGGGTGCAACCCCCACAGAGCACCTCCAGTCTGGGTCTCATAGACATGATCTGCAGCTGTTCTGCTCTACATCTGTGTATACTTCTCTCCCACTGCTTGCAGTTGAAACCCAGTGAAATCAGTAGGTTTGCTCTGAAAGCCCACATATGGTGAATTCTGGTTCTCATGTATAGCTGTCTTTATGACTTTTGCTTTGTTAATTAATGCCTTCCCACAACACTGCACCAGTAGAATCTTTTTTTTCTTTTCATGGCGTTACATTCTACTTGAAAAGCACTCCAGGGAAACGGATATAAAAATGTATTCACATCATACAGAATTTATTGTTGGAGAAGAAATCTTTTTTTGACCTTTGACAGTCATTTACAATTCTACAGCAGTTTCAACTGATCTACCACACACTGACTCAGGAATGGCTAATTGGAAATACTTATCAGATTTCATGCATACAGGCAGCTTTCCTCCTACAAATCAGGATGTATATAAGTTGTTCAAATTGTGCTTGAGATACACTTGAAAATAATAGCTCTAGATATCAGGTTTTTAAGGCACAATCCTAGAACAAAGGTCAACATGCTGAATGAATATGAACCTCGTCACCCTACAGGAAATGGAAAATACCTTGAAAAGAAAAGGCAAATATTATACTAGTATGGGTTTAACTCACACATGCAGTGGTTATTATACTAGGTTGTCTACTTATTTCTCATTTCAATCTTGAAAAATGAAGAAATCCAAACTTAATATGGCTTGACCTCCATCTCTAACCCAATTATTACTCTGAGTTTCCAAAGAGTGATTAAATACCAATATAAAATATTACAATGCTATTAATAATAACATGGTACAGGTTTGAGGCTTATAAAGGTCAAGTCTTTTTAAGGCTTGTTTTAACTCCTCCCTCCCTGCTCACAGATTCAAAATGAAATCTCTTCCTCTCTTCCTTCTCAATTTAATGTAATATAACAGCCTTTTCTCTGAAACCTCTCCAGGATTCTCGGTAGCCTGTCCACTGTATTCACACCCTGCAAAACATTCAGTTTGTGCATCTCTTACATTAATTACACCATATTGTTCAGAATCCAATACCCTGCCCAGAAAAATAAATAAACATTTTTCCTTTCACTCTTTTTAAAAGGGATCATAAACTTCTAACAGAAAACAGGTACTACCTCTGATAAAAAAGAATTGTTGGAAAGTATGTCATAACAGTCTCAAGAAACTGCTCCAAAATATATTCTGGCAAAAATGTAATCAGTCTTAACAATAAATGACTTAGTTGTACAGCAGTTAGCTGCCATCTCCCCAAGGCAGAGTTTAGGTCAAGTTATTACTATTCCTCTCTCTTGCTGGCTTTAAGCATGGATCAAACAACTTATTTTAAATTGTTAGAAGCTGCTGAGACAGTTGTTAAGCAATTTATTACTGGCAATAAAACATGACCACACGTTTCTACCTAGGACTGTATTAGAGCATGCTTCAGAGCAGGAAGACAAGGTAGTGCTGTTTGAAAGTGGCAGCGGTGAGAGAAGAGGGCATCTGCCATTGCTGCTGCTCTTACTGGGGATGACTTTAACAAGGTACTAAATATAAAAATAAAAGCAGTTGTTTCCAAATGGATAACCTGCAAAACAAGTTATCTCCTCTTAAAAGTAACCATGATTTCACTTATCTGAGGTTGTCCTTGGTTGAAGCTAGCCTAGAATAAGAACTCTGATCTGTTCCAGATACCTTGCTTAGCATTTCTGTTAGTACTCTGCTTTGTAGGCAATTATTGAAGAATTATACAATTCAGCAGTATTTACTTTACTAATACATTTACCCAGGACCCACGGTAATATCATCCACTCGACGATGGTTGGCGGAGGCCCTTGCATATTCAGGTCTGACCTGTCAATATGTTGAGAAGCAAGCAGCAGAAGGAACAAGAAAGTCAAGTAGGATGCAGTATGGCAGATAAATTTGATGAACGGTTTCCTGATGAACAGCCCCAGTGGGCTCTTGGGAGCAATCAGGTAGCAGACAGAGAAGACGGGGAAAAGGAATCCAATGATGACACACGTCAACATCTTCACAGCCCAGTGGCGCCTCCTCCAGCCTGGGAACTCATCATACCAGCGAGAGGCAAGCAGCTGTTGGCAGTTTGGTTGGGCAACAAACTAAAGCGAAAGAAAAGAGAACAGTCAGATCTCTTCCCCTTGCACATCGTTATCTATTGCACTACATAGTGCATAAAGTGGAAGGCATTTCTGCAGTTGCTCTCCAGCTTTAGCATCCGCATGACAAGCTGGGATTTCCTGTATGACAAACTAAAATACTCCCTCTTTATGCACAATTTTAAAAGAACTTTGCCCTCTAATCCATCTGATTGTCAAATTAACAAATTAAAAGAGGATTGGATGCTCCCCACTCCATTTTCAGAGTGGAATGTTCTTGCTATTATGTGCCACCAAGCTATAGCTGTCAACTTACAGCCACCCTAATAGGTCTTTCTTTTTTTAAAAAAAATTAAACACACACATGCAAACTATACATCAAACAATACATAAATAACAAAAACATAAATGATAAATACATTTGTAACTCAAATGTACAGTGTATACATCATGGCATTTCATCTTATATTGTTTGCTTTGTCCTTTTCCAATAATATAATGGATCTTGTGTCAGAGTATATTTCAATAAGCCTTTTCTAATTTTCAAATCACAAGTGAATTTATAATTAATAGCTAAATTCTCTGAGACCAACATTGTTACAGAAGCTCTCACTAAGAAGAATTTTTAAAAGACTGCTTGCTTAATGCGCAAGGATGAATTAAGCTAAGTGTGAACCAGCAGGAAAGTTTTGGGGAGAAGTCAGGAGTGCCATGTCAACACCCACAAAGTTTGAAGAGACAAGAGAGTGAGACAGCTGCTGTAGCGACCTGCATCATCTATGGACTTGCTTAATGCACAAGGATGAATTAAGCTAGGTCTGAACCAGCAGGGAAGTTTTGGGGAGAAGTCAGGAGTGCAATGTCAACACCCACAAAGGTTGAAGAGACAAGAGAGAGTGGGAGAGCTGCTGTAGCGACCTGCATCATCTATGGCATGCTTTTCTTCCAGCCTGAAAATGTAGAAAACAAGATCTCCAGTAATTTCAGGCTAGTTGTTCAACTGGCAGAGAACATGTAGTATGTATGAGGCACCATGATCTGGCTCATCAGGGAAGACAAAGCATTCCTTGATCAGGCAGAGCAGATGCTCCTGAAAAGGCAATAGTGTGGGGGAGAAAGAAGAATATAGACCACTAGAGATAAACACTGGAAGAATGTAATGCAAAGAAGCAGGACTATCACAAAACATACGGGCCCTCTTGAGCGCCCCAACTGATATCAGCCCTTCAACAGGGATAATGAGAAAGCAGAGATCATGGAGGTGTCCATGGAGGATCCCATCAGCAGAAGTATTCCTGCCACTTTCCAGAGACAGAGGAGACATGTGGTTATCATAGGTGACACCATCTTTGAGTAGAACAGAAGCAGCAGTTTGTAGATTGGGCAGGATGTCTCAGGAGTTATATTATCTCTTTGATGTGAAGATCCAGATGTGACACAAAGCTTGGAAAGATTCATTAAATCCACACAACCTCTCCCACCAGTTTCATGATGTCAAATAACATAGGAGATAAAACAGAATCCTGAGGGATCCTGCAGGCCAGCAGCCAGGGTGTAAAACTGAGTTCTCTCCTCCAGAAAAACAATGTCTCCATGTCCCATCCCAGAGAGACCTGTCAAAAGGATACCAAAAAGACCGGAGCCATCGTAAAACAATGTCTCCACGTCCAATCCCAGAGAGACCTGTCAAAAGGATACCATGGTCACTCTTGTCCCCATTACATGATTCTCCCTATCCTATGATGTATCACCTCCCTCTCAGCTTAAACACCCTCCTGACCCTGTATGTAAACACATTCTTCCCAATCCCTTTTAGGGACAACTCATCCCTTGTCAGAAATCTTTCTTCATTTATGGGAATACAGACCATGTTCCAGGAAGCTAAACCTTATCTAGCAACACCACCTGTGCAACCAGTTATTCATACTCTGTATTCTTCTTCTCTCTTCCTGGGTTATGACATTTTATCAGTATTGGGAAAACAGCTGTTCCTTTGGTTTCTACAGTATGTTGAAGGTTGCATCTGGCAACATCTTGTGTCAGAAGGCAAGGGAGGTGGTCAGTGGAGTCTTGGGGTTTAGTGTTATCAGCATGTGGATGACACCTAAGTCTATCTCTCCTTGCCATCTAAATCCAAGGTATCTGGCAATATCTTGTGTCAGAAGGCAAGGGAGGCGGTTAGTGGAGTCTTGGGGTTTACTCTTATCAGCATGTGGATGACACCTATGTCTGTCTCTCCTTTCCCTCTGAATCCAAGGAAGCAGTTTCAGTTCTAGATCAGTGTCTGATGACAGTAATGGACTGGATGAGGGTGAATAAACGGAGACTGAATCCAGACAATATAGAGGTTCTTCTGATCAATTAAAGGGCAGATCCAGCCTGAGCTGGATGGGGTAGCACTCCCTCTAAAAATGCAGGTCAGCAGCTAGGGGCTGTTTCTGGATTTATCTGAGCCTGTTGCACAATCAAAACTAGTGTGCCACCTGCACCCAATCCTGGAGAACTCTCATCTGGCCACAGTGATACATGTCTTAATTACATCCTGGCTAGATTACTGTAAGACACTTTCTGTGAGGCTGCCTCTGGAATGTGTTCGGTCCAAAATCCAGCAGCCAGATTGCTATTTTGGGCTGATCAGAGGGATCACATAACCCTCCTGCTATGACAGCTCCTCTGGCTGGCAATCTGTTTCCAGGCACAATTCAAAATACAGGTCCTAACCTATAAAGCCCTAAATGGCTTGAGTCCAAGCTATCTCAAGCACCACGTCTCTCATTATGAGCATGCCTGGGTGTTAAGATCATCAGGCCTTTCCTTCACCCCCACCACCTTCACAGGTGCATCTGATGGGGACACAGGAGAGGGCCTTCTCTGTCGCTGCTCCCCACACTCTGGGACCTCTTCTCATAGGAGGGCAGGCTGGCCCCATCATTGCTATCTTTCTCTAAGCAGGAAAAGACCTTTCCCTTCAAGCAACTTCTCTAAGCAGGAAAAGCCCTTTCCCTTCAAGCAAGCTTTCCTTTAATTACTAGATGCCTAAAAGTTGGGTTCTTAAATGGATTCCTGTGCCTTACTGTATTGGATGAGGAGCTTTGTGGTGCAGTGGTTAAACTGCAGTACTGCAACCAAAACTCTGCTCATGACCTCTGTTCAATCCCAGGTAGCAGGTTCAAGGTTGACTCAGCCGTCCGTCCTCCCAAGCTCAATAAACTGGGTACCCAGTTTGCTGGGAGGGGGGCAATATGTAGCCTGCATAATTGGATTGTAAACCACCCAGAGAGTGCTTTAAACACTATGGGGCAGTATATAAGCAGCACATTTTGCTTTGAATGTGTTTTGATATTGCTTCTGTTTACCATCTTTATCTGTGGCATTTGTTTGATCCATTTTAGTATTTGCATACTTGTTTTTTGCTTTAAATATTGTCTTTGAATTATATAGGATGTCTTGGGTCCTTCTTAAGAAGAAAAGGCAGAGTAGGAATTTTTAAATAACTAATAAATGAATGAATAGTGTGGTGCACACTCTAGATCTAGGAAATCTGCTACAAAGAAGCTTAAAGAATTACTGGATAAGATCCCATGATTAGATATACGCAAACAGGAGGAAGTATGGGATGTGATTTTCTTAAAGATGAAATACAGAAGGCACAATCACAAGCAATACTTACAAAGAAAAAAAAGAAATGGGAGGCATCTAAAAGAACCTTCAAAGGAGCTAAGGAGGTGCATATGAAATGGAAGGATGGGAAAATTACCAAGGAAGAATACGAATGAATTGTACAGAGAAGGTCAGGAGGTCTAAAGCTCAGAATGAGCTCAGTGGTATGGAAAAACACTGTGATTTTAAATGAATTCAAGTCTCCACATCCAATTAAATAGTTGATCTCTAAGAACTTAGAAAATAACACAGTCATTACTAAGAACCACATGGGTTTCTCAAAAACAAGCCATGACATTATTTCTCTTTTTAAAAATAGTTATCACCTTGGCCTTGATTTTAGCAAAATTCTTGACAAGGCCTCTGATATTCCTGTAGCCAAGCTAGTAAAATGTGAAATTGTTAGAACATTACTGCTGCTGGATGATGGGTAGTACCCAAAGAGTGCTCACCAATGATTCCCTGTCATCCTAGACAGAAGTAATAAGAGGCTAGCACAAGCTTCTGTCCTGGGCCAAGTATCATTCAGTATTTTATGGCAGACTTAGATGAAAGAATAGAGGGGATTCTTATCACATTTGGAGATGACACCAAATTAAACAGAATCAGGATTCAAAACAACCTTAACAGATTAGAGAACTAGGTCAATAAGAAGAAATCAGGAAAAAGAGGCAAATTTCTCCATTTGGGCAGGGAAAATCAGATGCACAGGAAAGGGACAGGTGACACGGAATTAGGGATCTTTTTAGACAACTGGCTAAACTTGTCAACAGTGTTATTCAGCAGCAGCAGCAGCAGCAATAAAAGGAAACGCAATATTGTGCTATATCAACAGAAGTACAGTCTCCAGATCAACAGAAGCAATTGTTACTCTGTTCTGTGTCTATCAGAGCTCACCTTGAATATTGTGTCCAGTTCAACAGTTCACGGGGATATCAACAAGCGGAAATGTGTCCGGATGAGGATGACCAAGATGGTAAAGGGTTTGTAAATCAAGCGCTATGAGCAATGGTTGTGGGGCTGGGTATATGTAGTCTGGGGAATGGAGGATCCAGGTGATGCGATAGCTGCTGGCTAGACAGCTCAGTTCTTTAGGTATCTGGCTGTGGAGCCAGAAGTTGGGAGTTCAATCCCCCACTCTGCCTCCTGTAAGGAGAGCCAGCCTGTGTAGCCTTGGGCAAGCTATGTAGTCCCAAAACACCCCAAGAAGAAGGGAAGGGTAAACCACTGCTGTGTATTCTCTACCTGGAAAACTCTGAAAAGACACATGATTATGATAACCATATTCAAATATATGAAGAACTGTCATGTGGAAGAAGAAGCAAACTTTTTTATTCTGGTTC